GAAAGAAAGTTCTAATTTAAGCTTTCAGCTTCTGGAACATTGTAGAAGCGCAACTGTTGTCTTTCATGGATGTCAATCAAAGAGTCCCAGCTCCTTATATATAATGTGAGGGAGGGATGTGGTCTGATAAGGCTGTTACCCGGGATTTGTTCAATGGAGCCAAAAATCTTCTATGTGAATGGATGTTGGGAGTGGAGAAAAGTTTGAAAGCACAAAGTCTTGTAAATCTAAGGAAGGCAATGCCTCACTTTTTGTTAAAACAGTACTATTTACCCTCTCTAATGGTTGAATTTTTTCCCCTTTTGGGGAGGAATTGTAAACAAATGTTTACTTAATCTTTACCAATGGGATGCACAATGGCAGCAACATGAAAATCTTTGACTATAACTCATCGGAATCTTACAAATGTGACCATAACTTTTCACTTACTGGAGAGGCCTCCATTCACTGTACAACTAAAGATAACATGAATGGAGTCTGGAATGGGTCTGCCCCTGAATGCAAAGGTGACTGTCTGTCTTTATCTTCTTGTTGTTGTACTTTCTCCCACCAGAAAAAACAATATCTTGATTGCTAGGCAAACCCATAAACATGAGAAAATTGAGTTAGCCATTAATCATCTAAAGATATAACTTGTGGGAAACCTGGTTGCTGTTTGAAACGTAATCCTTAAAAAGTGGCTGTCTCTGCACGTACACACAAGGGGGAAAAATTAAGATCTCATGGGTAACCTTAATTCTGTGGTTTCCTAACTACTGAATGCTTTGCAATTTTAATAACTTGTGTCTGCTGTGGGTTTTATGTTACTTCTGCGGTTTTTAAAAAGAAAAAAGAAGTCTATGTGAAAGTAATGTCCTGTCCTCCACCTCCATGTGTCATTTGAGGTTTGACTCTTGGGCCTAAGGTACTGCAGGATAGACCTCTGTCAAGTTGAAGAAGTAATTATAATAGGTGGCAGCAGGAGTAAATTGTTATCCGTATCAACCACTAGAGGAGGATGCCCGACACACTAAAACAATGGATTATATATTCACGAATAACCTCATTGTACACACCGCGTAGCCAAGTATTTAGATTTGGCTAATTCTTTCGGTTAGGCTAAGTGGGTGAGACTTGGGTCTGCCATATTAGAGATCTGGGTGCTCTTCGTAGCTTGTGTAACTTTCATTCAGGGAGGATGGGTTGCTCAGTGCTAACTTGGGTTTTGAAGGGCACAGGATTGTTAACACCAGTCAGTAGAAATAATGAGAGTTGAACTCCTCATCTCCTGGTTCCCAACACGGTGCACCTTCTCCTAGTCCAAAGGATATTATGATCTGAGGGATGGAGATGCGTAGTTTTGAGTTGCACATGGTAACACCTTGCAGAGAATGGTCATTGAGAACAGCATGTTCAGGGGTTTTAGAAGTTCCTCTAGGAAGTTTTGATGAGCCTTTCACATCCTTGCTACAAACCACGGAACTGTTAGAGCTCTTAAAGAGAGAGAGAGAGAGAGAACTTTTGTAAAGGGAAGTGGTAGGCAGCTCAATGTAGGGGTTGCTATGGGCTTCCCCTAGAATATCTGAATGGGATCCCAGCAGCAGTCTGCAGGGTAGCCCAACTGAGCTCTCGCTGTGACAAACGTGTAGGTGGGATAAGTCTGTCTTCTCTCTAAGGATGCAGATTCCTAAATATTAGTTTGGCAAGCTCCTGACTCCGAGTGGCCAGCTGGTGATGGGAGACTGATGTAATGTTCATAGCTGCTTTTTCCTCTTCTTTTTGCCTTAGTCATAATTACCCAGAAAAACCACAACTGTCCCTCCCGAAGGAGCAGAAGTAGCTGGTGCTTCCTCATGTAAATTGGAAGAACTTGGATTTGCTAAAAG